TTCACAACCATACAAAGAAATGAGAAATGTGACAGCACAGATAATCCTGACACCAGTATGATACATCAATGATATATCTTTACAAATGAGAATTTGGATAAGCTCCTTCAAATCATTGTCTTCTTCTAAGTTCTTGACTACAGTCTCCATTCTGAATATACCTTGGCTTTTAAACTATTTTATTGCCTAGCACCTGCACCTGGAATAGATCTATCAAAATCTAGAATAGAAATCTAGAGTGGATTCACTGAACTCCTAGTCCCTATCCAATGTTCAGCACCTAGAACAGCTCCTGTAAATGGTATCATGGAATCAGGGCCTGCTGAAGTGCCTTCATTATAATTATGATTATGATTATCCTAAGTTTTATTGTTAGTTTCAACTAAAGTCAACTCACTGACTCAGTTGGTTTAATCTATGTGTTAACAGGAGATGAAGAGAATATTCACTGTTGTTAATTTCCCTGCTGAAACATGGTTTTTCTTACACTCAAGAAATCCAGTTGGGAACAATAACATAGCTGTAAGAATTGGTCTAAATACCATAAAAGAATGAGATCATGTCTGATTGTAGAAACTAAGCAGGGTCAGACCTGGTTAAGACTTGGATGGGAGACCGCCAATGACTACCAGGGACTGTAGTCTAGATCTCAGAGGAAGGAACTGGCAAAACCACCTTCGTGGATTCCTTACCTAAGAAAATGCTGTGAAATTCATGGGGTCACCATAAGTCAACAGGCAGCTTGAAGGCACATACACAAACACATGAGAATTGTGCAGTTTTCACCCAGTATTTGCATGTCCAGAAGCATTTCAGGAAAATTATCCTGCACAGGGGCAAACGTAGTGCCTTTTTGCACAGAAATCATCAAATTTTCAACAATAACAAGAAGAAGAACAAAAACAGCTATATTTTCATGAATAATGATTTCCCAGAACACCTTAGGATGTGCAAATATTGGGAGAAAACTGCAAGAAGTATTTGTCTTTCCCCATGGAGGGAAGCAAACCATAGCAATTATTCATCCTCACTTGCATGAATGAAACAGTTAAAGGTTGACATCCCTACTCACCATTGACTCACCCTTATAGAATTGATTCAATGGGTCTCTTCTAAAAGGAACGAATCAATAGAATCCAGGCCATTATCTTTCTTTATATCTTGCCTCCCCCACCCCATGCCAAACTTGAATTCAAGACTGCTAACAACTTAAAGCAAATATTTTATAGATAAAATTTGCAAAAAAAAAAATATGTTAAAATGGATCTAAGCTGTCAGTCACATTAAAAATAGTACAAAAAGTGCAATTAAAAATAATTAAAAGTGGTTTAGAAGCAGTACTATTAAAAGCAGCATCACTTGCTATTAAAAATCCTTTCTTTAAACAACATCCAGTTCGCAAAAGTCCATTGGAATAAAAGTATTGTAATGAAGGACTTGAATTTGGGGAATTACTAAAGTCCAAGTCTCCAATGGGATCTCTTATCCTATGTTTACGGAGGTGGTTAAGGGATAGACTGATAGAAACAAAACTTTCCAATGAACTGAATTTTATATCTGGGGATTCAAACATGCAAAGACACTCTAACATATACACACAAGAACTCAAGAATAAAGTAGTTAGCTTGAATAGGAAACACAAGGCTTCCTAATGGTGATAATTACCTGAAGGAGGCTGCTCCAACATTGAATGAAGATGGATAGACTCAACCGTTATGAAAGGAAAGGACAACAGAAAGAGCCGGGACTCTAGTTAGAGTTCACAGTGGTGCAGTGTCACCATGAAATCTAACCAGATCCAATGTGCCTGAGATTTTGGGGATGATTTATACCTTTAAACCTAGCCTGAGGCAAAGAGTTGCTGTTGTTTTTGTGGGTTTTTCAGGCTGTGTGGCCATGTTC